CCACAAACTAGATCAGACCAGATATATATATATATATATATAATTTCTCTAGCGTATAAATGAACAAAAACATACTTTTTTTACATTTTACACCTGAAATTCCGCTGTAACACACAGTTTGGTCACGTGTTTCCTGTGGAGCTCCACTTTACGCCCCTTAAAATCACGTATTTCCTGTGGAGGTGACGTATTTCCGGTGGAGCTCCACTCTACAGGCGTCTGCAGCTGGACCCTTCTCTCCAAGTCGGAACTCGGATGAAAACGTCACGAAAAACGTCACTTCCCGTCGGAAACACGCCTCTTTTATGACGTTGAAGTCGGACAAGATTTTGTTGTCCGAGTTGCCCCTGTGACGTAATTTCAACATGGCGACTTGATTTGTTTGTAGTTTGTTTACCATTCAAAAAAAGAATATCGCTATGAATGTACTAAAATATTTTATAAAGCCTTTAATGTGGTTTGACTAGTTCGTGTTTCTTGTTTGTCTCTCGGAAAAATTTCCATTTCTCCATTTTCTCCATTTGGAAAACTCCAAATCTGCTAAAATATAAAGCAACAACACACAGCAACGTGTTCATGGAGGCAGCCATGTTTGTTCCGAGATGTGGGTAGCTCGAACGGGAGATTGTCGGACGTGATGTCACTCAACTCGGAATTTCTGAGTTCCGAGAGAAAAACGAACGCACCATGAGGCTACCATACTCGGCGCCATCTTGAAACTACAGTAATTTAAATAAAGCAAAATAAAAAAAATAAAGTAAAATAAAGCAGTCATTTACAAATTTCCCTTAACTTTTATTTCATTGCAGACAGTATGAACACAAGATAATTCATGGTTTTTTTTGTCAACATCATTTGATTTGTAAATAAATATCTATTCTTGCCAATCAGGCTTGCAACACATTCCAAAAAAAAGTTGGGACAGTACAGCATTTACCACTTTGTACAGTTCCCCTGTCTTTTAACAACACTTAAAAAACATTTAGGCATCGAAGAAATCAAGTGACTAAGTGTTGCAGTTTGTCCCATTCTTCCTGCAAACAACGCTTTAGGTGCGAAACAGTTTCAAAATGCGCCAAACATTCTCTATAGGAGACAAATGAGGGCTGCAGGCAGGCCAGTCAAGCATCCGCACCCTCTTCTTATACAGCCATACCTTTGTTATGTGTGCAGTATGTGGTTTGGCATTGTCTTGCTGAAAAAAGCATGGGCGTCCCTGGAAAAGACGTCATCTTGAAGGCAGCATTTGTTCCTCCAAAACCGAGATATACTTCTCAGCATTGATGGCGCCATCGCAGAAGTGCAAGTTACCTTTGCCGAAGGCACTGACACAACCCCATACCTGACAGACCCTGGCTTTTGGACTTGTATCTGGTAACAGTCTGGATGGTCCTTTTCCTCTTTGGTCCGCAGCACACGACGTCCATTTCTTCCAAAAAAGATGTGAAAAACCAATTTGTCTGACCACAATACACGTTTCCACTGCACAATGCACCATCCCAGATGCCTCCGAGCCCAGAGAAGTCGACAGCAGTGGGGCTTCATTTTGGCACAGTACAGTTTTAGCTGGCATTTCCTAATGTAACTACGTACTGTAGTGCTTGAGAGTGACTTCCTGAAGTAGTCCTGAGCCCACGCAGTTATATCATTTATTGATGAATGACAGTTTTTAATGCAGTGCCGTCTGAGGGCTCGGAGATCACAGCCATTCACTTTAGGCTTGCGCCCTTGGCCTTTGCGCACGGTAATTTCTCCAGATTCCCTGATTCTTTTCACTATGTTATGCACTGTAGAGGGAGGAATGCCCAAATCTCTTCCTATCTTTCTTTGAGAAACGTTTTTCTTCATCATTTCAAAGATTTCTGCCCGCACTTGGTGGCAAACTGGCGATCCTCTGTCCATCTTTGCTCCTAAAGGAGTAGGCCTTTCCTCGATGCTGCTTTTGTACCGAATCATGATTACGATCACCTGTTAACATCACCAGTTTCAAATCACATCATTATTTAGTTATTATACCTCATTACTACCCCTGAATTGCCCCCATCCCAACTTTTTTTGTAATGTGTTGCAAGCCTGAATGGCAAGAATGGATGTTTATTTACAAATCAAATGACGTTGACAAAAAAAAACCATGAATTATCTTGTGTTCATACTGTCTGCAATGAAATAAAAGTTAAGGGAAATTTGTAAATTACTGCTTTATTTTTTTTTTCACATTTTCCACACTGTCCCAACTTTTTCTGATTTGGGGTTGTAAAACCATAATCATGAATATTTCCATAAGTAACTGTAATTTAATTACACTTTTTTCTCTAGTAACTGTAACAGATTACAATTACATTTTTTTGTAATTAAATTATGTAACGCCGTTACATGTAACTCGTTACTCCCCAACACTGATTATTATCATTATTATGTTGTCCAACAAAGAGTGTCAGTGTTTTTGTGATCTATTATGGGCAACCTCTGTATTTCTGTGAAAGAATGGCAGACAATAGTTCAAATAAAGAATGATGTGGGTCAGAGCACTTGTAAATTTGTGAGCAAGATTATTAACAGTGTTGGGCAAGCTACTTGTAAAGTGTAGTGAGCTAAGCTATCAGTTACTCAACAATAAATTAAGCTTCACTACACAAAAGCTACCACCCATAGAAATATAGCAAGCTATGTTACACCAATATGGCAAAAGTAGCTTCTACATCAGAAGCTACTTCACGTTGTACCAACCTAATACCAGATCAGTGCAAAATGACAGTCAGATACACTGGTTAAGACATTTATTAAAGAACAACCCATGATTTAACAGTGTAGACATTGTGTTATGTGAAGCATCGAGACATAAATAAAAGCTTACTTCTGGGAATAAAACAAGAAAAAAAAATATTGGCCTACTACTAGGTAAACCAGTACTCTAATAAACAAACTATTTAGTACCAAATGAAAGCTACTGTTTAGTGTTTGATGGGCAAGACATGGCTATAGGTTTAAATCAATCAATTTATTGGCACAATAGCAAATGAACTGGTCCAAACTGAAATGAGAATCAAAGTCCTGAATTACATGTTTTAGTGCTGGGGGGATGGGATGGAAGGGGACCCCTGTGTTGTATCTATACTTTTTAATAACTAAGGTGGATGCATAAACAAATTGCTAAAGCTGGACTCATTTTCATTACTTTTAAGTGTTTTTATTTATTAATTAGTTAAAACCCAGGACAGAATTTGGGCAAAGTCTATGAGTAAATAAATACTGTAGCGCGGAGGTACCGACGGGCAGCGCAGCATGTTGGACTGATGCCAGCTTGTAAATAGTTCTCAGTAATCGCTTGTGTCATTATAAATGTGCTGTGTGTTATGTCATGTATAATCGTTAATGTTTATTGTTATACGTAGTGTGCGTGTATGTGTGCGTGCGCCCACTGTGTGTGTGAGGAGTAAACTGGGCGACGTGCACGGTGGGCAGTGCGAGTGTGTGGGTTGCAGTAATACGGGTGTAATAAACGCCATCTGGTGATTAAACCCCGAGATAGATTGTTGCATTTCAAAATCATACTGCAGAGGAAACCTCTGCTTTTCTCAGACATGTCCTGGAAATTGTAGCTTTTGTGGACGCTACGTCGATACTTGATCAAAAAAATAACGTAACTACTGGAAAGTTATTTGATTTAGAAATCAGCAACGCTACAGGCAAGCTACTAGAAAATGTAGTTAAATAGGGTGACCAGATAATCCATGTCAGGGAGGACACTTTGAGCTACTTCGGGTTTTACAAACTACTTCCAAATTAAAAGGCTCCTGTGCTCGGCTAAAGAGTTCAGCGCTTCTTGTGCTTTGACTGGTTTGTTTCCTTGACTGAAAGACTCATCCAGCTGTTTTACATTAGCATTAGTGACACATGCATGCTTATAGGAAACTGACCAATCAACACACAGCAAGAACTCGGTGCTCAAGTGAAATCCAGGTCCGTTTAATTGAAATGGTAATTTACAATTCCTGTCCTAGCTCAGAGTGTCCTCCCTGACATGGATTATCTGGTCACCCTAAATTAAACTAATAGCTTCGCTACATGTAGCGGCGCTACCGCCCCATCACTGATTATTAACTACTTTTGATCTGAAGGGATTTGAGAAACATTTCTAATTATCGATTGATCAAACATTCAGTTTATCAAGTAAACATATGGGACAATAAATACCATAAAACAAACTACTTGTGGAGGAAATTTGTGAAGGGTAAGAAATGTTTATTTATGCAGCTGAAATTCATTGATGCAGTTGATTGCCTTGATAGATAGTGGGACACTGAATCTTTAATTTTTTTGGTTGAGCTTCCTCCCTCTCTCTTCCTGCCCTTGGTACAGCAGCTGTCTATGTAGTCCTGAGGTTGTGGGAAGTCATTAGCAGCTTAAGTAATGGCATCACTGAATTACGTGGTCATCTGATTGTGCATTTAGAGCCCTATATCTACTCAGAGAAAATTGTTTAACTTTGATCACTGCATCGACCCCAGTTGATGTGCATGTGTGCCCTGTTCGAACAGTTAGGGAAACTTATGCTTTATGCTAGTTCGATTTTTAGATCCATTTTGCATTAAAATGTGCTCTTCATATACAAACCAGTTCTCCAGCTCATTACAACGGCTCATTACGAAACTTTCAGGAAATACACTTCTGATCGTTGTAAATAGTTAAGGATGAATATAAATATGCCTTGTGTTCTTTTTCATGACAATGGATACTCTTATCCTTCTTCTTCCTCTCTGCAGAAAGAAACCATTGGTGATCTGGTCATTGTAAATGGCCAGTTAGGGCATGCAGGGACATACACCTGCACGGCACAGACAGTGGTGGACAATGCTTCTGCCTCAGTCAAACTTGTGGTGAGAGGTAAAGGCTTCAAATATTGTGAATGCATCTGTATACCTAAATGCAGTTAATGTAGATTACAGCAAGCTTTAGGATCTGAAGCCTTGACAACAATATCTCAATTGTGAAATCTGCCAAAAGGACCCATAGGTAAAAAAGTAAAAACACACAGGATATTTATTAGCCTCTGTAACATACCCAATCTGTGCCAACCACCAGAAAAATCTATTTGCATACAGTTAACAGTCTATAGTTTCACCCACCTGTGAAATATGTCTATCACTTTGTATTATATTGCAGAAATATTTCATGAGATCTATAATTTCTCAACAGCAAAATTTACATAAAAAGAAATATATATATGAAAATGTGAGCATTATTAAGATCTGTCAACGATGTTTTGAATATTGCCTCTAGCTAATCAATGGCTTGTTCTGGTAAAGGTCCTCCAGGCCCTCCAGGGGGAGTAGTTGTAAAGGATGTGAATGCAACAGCCCTGGAGTTGGGGTGGAGCCGGGGCTATGATAATCACAGTCCAATTGGAAAGTATATCATTATGGGCAGATCACTGTTGTTTCAAGACTGGAAGCAAATGCAAACAGGTATACAGCCTAATGTGTTATATGTGTACAGAGAATACTAACCCGATTGTGAATAAATATTCATACCTTCAGGTTTACTCTCAACTTATGTTAATGAATTTATGCAATGTGAAATTCCTTTCAATATTACAAAAATGTCAAAAAGCAACCTCATACAGTAGTATTTTGTCAACCTGTGTCTGATACAAATAATTGTGGTAAGTAGGGCCAGAATTGTTATTGAAAAACGAAAAGATTTATAGGATTCTTCTTGTAGCCAATATGAACGGCAGTATTTTTTCTATCCGAGCTTAATAAATCCTCTTATGCCGCATATTTGCACTCATTAGTATGGTTCCTCTGCCTCTCGTTACATGTAAAAGACAGCAGATGGCTTGAAACAAACAGTTTTCACCTCCAAGCATGTTATTCATGTTATGTTTCAGAACACCACTAGGACGATACCCACGGACAGCTTCTTTATTCATATATTTTGCATCAGTCATTTGCATACTCTATAATAATGTTTTACGTCTTAGATGAATAAGTAAGAGGCACAGCAGATAATACCTGCCTCACAGGAGTCAAGTTACATTGGGCCTATTTGAGTTTCTGTGGGATTTTATGTTCTCCCTGTGTCTCCTAAATAAAAATGGCCATATACAGTACTGTGCAAACATCTTAGGGAGTCAAAGAAAATTATATTTAAATTATCTTTATGTTTATGTTGAAAACAATGATAAAACTATGTCTCTAAAAGTGTGCTTCAATGGCTCTCTTAAAATTATCCCAAAACACAAATGTATTTTGTGACTCGACCACTAGCATTCCTCAAATGGCTAATTAATACCTCATTGAGTTATGTAACTAATTAAATTAATTAGCTGGTCAGCTGGTGGTGAAATGTAACACATAAATGAAATGGCTGGGATGTCCCTGAAGAGAGGTTTAAGACCTGATGTGGTATTCTTCTAGCCATCCCATAAGATATCAGTAACTTTTTGTGCTAGTTTTTATTGTCTTACTCTTAATTTGCCTGTCTGATGTTAATTTGTGTTTTTTTCTGAGCATATATACATTAATTACCCAGATAAATAGCTTTAAACATTTTGTATGACTAAGATCACAGTACAGTATACAGTATGTGCTGTTAAATTATCCTAATTTCATAAATCCAAAGAATTTGCCTGTATAACAGTTTTCTCTTCCTTGTATAATGTTTACTGACACAGATCCGCCAAACATTGAAGGAAATGCAGAGTCAGCACGTGTGATTGGTCTGCTGCCTTGGATGGACTATGAATTTCATGTCATTGCTAGCAATATTCTGGGTAGTGGGGAACCCAGCATGCCCTCACCAACTGTCCGAACTCATCAAGCAGGTCAGGCCAATTCCTTCTAAACCATGGAACATAATGAACATTCCCAAGGGATTAATTCTAATTAGTCCCAATAAACAGTTAGGTTTAATGAATGTAATATCATTTGATTAGGACTGTGCATGTGTAATGTTTATTAATTTGTAGAAGTGATCCACATTATTTAACAGGATATTATTATTATTATTACTTTCTGAACCTTGCACATTTGCAGTACAAAACCACTAGAGGCAATCTTGGTGGTAAATTTGTGCTTTTGCTGTTGACTGTGCCACCCACACTAGCTCCCACTGTGGCCCCCAGTGGTCTTGGAGGAGGAGGTGGAGACCGACATGAGCTGATCATTACCTGGACAGTAAGTTTTTGGTTTGTCACCTTTTTAAAGAGGATAACACAGCATGAAATTACAAAGCTTTAATCTTAATTAATTGTAATCCATTTGATTAATTAAAAACAACAATTAAAATATTTAAGGTAATGGAGGAGGGGCAGTGCAGTGTATAGCATAGCCCCCACACACCGTGATCTCAGTCTGGCCCCTGCTGTGTGTGTATGTAGTTTGTATATTGTCCCTATGTTGCACAGAATTCTAGATGCTGCAGTATTCTCCCAAAAACTTAAAAAGTCCAAAAACATGCCATCAGTCATACTGATATCTCTAAAGTGCCCGTAGTCAGGCTGGTATCCCATCCTGGGCTTTCCCCTTTCCCCTTCCCTTATGCTGCCCAGGTTTCCATGACGCAGGACAGGATAAATAGTTTGATGGATGTAAGTAAATGGAGGAAGTTTATTAAGCAACAATATGGGACAATAAATACCTTATTTTACACAGAAATCAGACATAAAAATAACATAAATGACAGCTATATGTCAGGGTGCGTGGAGCGGGCAAGCGGAGAAGCAGGCAAGCAGAGCCGCAAATACGGACAGACGGGGTTTATTTAAAGGAAGACTGGTGGACAAGGAACTGCACATAACAATACATGACACTACAATGACGGATCTGGGGAAAACAGACTGAGACTCGGACTAAATACAAAAGACTATCCAGAAATAACAGGACACAGGTGATCACAACCAGGAATTGACACCAGGTAATGAGGGGGCATGGCACACACAAGGATCGTACGGAGCCGGGCGTGACACTATAATAACAGCATATAGTTTCTTTATCTGGGGAGTTATGTGAAAATGTATTGAACTGTATGTAAGCTAGGAATGAAGTTAAATAAATATTGATATCCTGACCAGGGATGACATGGGATTTCCTGCTTTTAGAGGGGTGGATTTAGGACTGGACTTTAATATCCAGCAATCTGTCCATAACTAATTAGTTAGGTGAAGGATAATGTGCACAAAACAAATAATTTAAATGATAGTAAGTCTAAATCGAATTTAGTTTGATCTATGCCATTACTGTTGCTATTATTGTCGTTATTATTATGAGCCAATTCATTTCAATGAAAAGGCTCATATTACTCTTCACCTAGTAGGGCTTGCCTAGATGGACGGATTGACATATTGTTTGTCTCGGTACACCTTACAGATTGCGTGCAATTCCCTCGCAAAGTCAAAAAAAACTTTATTATGCGGCTATTCATTTCAATGAAAAGGCCCATATTACTCTTCACTTATTAAACAATACTTTCCAAATTTGCGCTTACCCATTGAAATGAACAGAGATGGTTTTGCAGCCGAGTCGTAGGGCTTGCCTATCCGGACGTATTGACATATTGGATGAATCGGTACACCTTACGGCTCGAGTGCAATTCCCTCGCAAAATCGACTTTATTTATTATGGGCCTATTCATGTTAATGTAAGGCCCATATTACTCTTCACCTAGTAAACTATATTTTCCGAATTTGTGCTTAGCCATTGAAATGGAGGGAACTCACTTCAGTGCCAAGTTGTAGGGCTTGCCTAATCAGACGGATTGACATATTGCTTGTCTCCGTATGCCTTTCGGATCACGTGCAATTCCCTCTCAAAGTTAAAAAAAAACTTTATTATTATTATTATTATTATTATTATGGGCCTATTCATGTCAATGAAATGACTATATTACTCTTCACCTAGTAAACTACATTTTACGAATTTGCGCTTAGCCCATGAAAAGCACGGAGCTCAGTTTGGTGCCAAATCGTAGGGCTTACCTAGATGGATGGATTGACATATCGTTTGTCTCGGTGCACCTTACGGATCTTGTGCAATTACCTCTCAAAGTCAAAAAAAAACTTTATTTATTATTATGGGCCTATTCATGTCAATGAAAGGCCCATATTACTCTTCATCTAGTAAACTACATTTTCCGAATTTGCGCTTAACCCGTGAAAAGCACGGTGCCAAATCGTAGGGCTTGCCTAGCTGGACGGATTGACATATCGTTTGTCTCCGTACTCCTTACGGATCGCGTGCAATTCCCTCTCAAAGTCGAAACTTTATTATTTATTATTCTTCCGTGATTTTGGGCAATTAATGTAGGTCGTACCATAGCGTGCAGCCAAACAATCTATATATCAAAAGTGAGTCCTTCATGGTGTGAGGTGTGCTATTACTTTTTTGTGCAGATTATGTTACCATGGCGACATTATTCACGGTCAAACACACTAAAAATGTCATAGGATTGCATTGAATGCTAACTTGTACCTAGCATTAGCCTGTGTTTAACCATGTGAAGAGTAGTAAGGATCGTGTTTTTTCATGGAAGTGAATGGCCCATTGACTTCATTGCATTTCAGTCAACGTTTTCCTACTCTGCCAATGTTCATGCCACAGCAACAATACTAGTTACTCAACATCAGCTCTTATCACCTAACACCTTATGACCACCATCTTGACCCGCACTCCTCTTTCATCCCTTGTTCTCTCCCATTGATTTCAATGCATTTCTATCAAAGTTTTCCTATTCGGCCACTGTTCCTGCCACAGCTACAAGACTCAATAGTCAACCTCAGGCCTACTCACCCAACACCTAGCAATACTGTAGCAACCATCTAGTGACGTGTAGCAACCTCCTAGCAACGCCAAGCAACCGCCTAGTAATGCCTAGTAACCATCTAGAAACCAGCTGGTATCACCCTAGTAATGCCTACCAGCAACCTAGTAACCACATAGGAACACCCTACCAACCATCTACTAATGCCTAGCAACCCCCTAACAACCACCTGGCAACGCCTAGCAACGACCTAGCAACCAGCCACAGACAGCCTAGCAACGCCTTCCGACACCTTAGCAACCACCTTGCAGCACCCTAGCAACCACCTGGAATTGCATACCGACCATCAAGCAACCAACTACCGACACCCTACCAACGCCTTCCAACACCCTAGCAGCCACCAAGAAGCACCATAGCAACCATCTAGTTATGCCTAGCAACACCCTATCAACCACCATAGCAACATCCTAGAAATCACCTAGCAACGCACTGTTCATCCACTTTATTAGGAGCACCAGCTCTTCCATGGTCAACAAAATAGGCCCATCCCTAAATTTCTTTAGCAAGAAATTGTTGTTGTTGTTGTTACTATTATTATTATTAGTAGTAGTATATATTAAAAGAAGGACTTCAAAAAGAGAACAAAAGCATTTTGTTTTTACTATTTCCTCAGCCTATGGCACGGGAGTATCAGAATGGAGATGGCTTTGGCTACATCTTGGCTTTCCGTAAAAGAAATGCCCCCACATGGATGGAGGTGAAGATTCCCAACGTTAAGTCTTCACGCTACGTCTACAGTAATCAGAGCCTGTCCCCCTACTGTCCCTTCGAGGTGAAGATCAGGGCATACAATGAGAAGGGGGAGGGACCCTTTAGTCAGGTGGCTGTGGTTCACTCTGCAGAGGAAGGTGAGGGCACAAGTTTTGTTTAGGACAATAGGGAGATAGGCATTTAGAAAATATAAGAGCTATAACTTGCGACATAAAAGTACTAGATGCAACATTTTGGATATTTCTTTAAGGCAGGATATTAAGCAGTAGTGATATGTCAAAACAGAATTAAATGTATTTTGGTTTACATCAATATGAAGAAAAAGTAGACCAATGCCCTTAGTTGAGTTCTATTTTTCATCCCCTGCTAGAGCCTACTGTCTCTCCCCGAAAGATCAATGTCACGGCATTGACTGCATTTGAAATATTAGTGTCCTGGGAGCCTGCACAACTACTGATGATGAATGTTCTACGAGGATATGAGGTCAGACATCACATATCTAAAAACTGAGAGTGACACAGTAAATAACTTTCAGCATTTCAGTAGCAAACCTAACATGTTTCCAGATGTAGAGAAATTAATTTTATAAATCTGCTTCTTTTTCCCATAGTTACTGCATCCATTACAAAGAATCATCATCTTGTCAAGAATGTGTAGCTTTCTAAATGCTCTATTTACAGTATAATACTGTAATCTCTGTGTTAGTGGGTTTTATTAATGTGAAGTTAGTGATCCGCTTTAACAAGAGCAAAGATTTTTGGCTTGGTTTAAAAATGTTAGCAAAGTGCTGCAATAGATCTTTTTGGAAACCTTTTAATCAGCTCATGCTCCATATAAATTTATTATACTGATAACAAGCATATTCAGAAAGATGCAGTGTGAAGAAATGTCTTAAATTATATCGCAAATTAACACTCAGAGGGACTAAGTCCAGCACCCAGTGATTAAAACAGTAGTGGACATAGAACACAATCACATGGCTTGTTGCAAGCCAGCTCACACATGCTATAAAATAGGTTTTCATTTGCCCTTTGATATATTATAATAACAGGTTTATTACTATTGATTTATATATCAATGATGCAAGCAGCATGTCAGTTAATGATCACGGCGTGACTGGAAAATGTAAGGATCAAATTCCAAAAGAAAGAGCTACTCTTCTTCCTATTTTCTTTACTTAACACCCAACTTTATAAATAAGCATAGAGCCTGAAATTTATGCAAATTTATTTTGATAAAAATACATAATGAGAACTACCTGAAATGTATCACTGTATTTTCCATTCCAGATTCGCTACTGGCGTCAACATGACAAGGAGGCAGCAGCTGACCGTGTGAGGACTGCTGGTTTAGAGACAACGGCACGAGTCTCAGGCCTTCGGCCCAGCACTCTTTACTATGTGATGGTTCTGGCTTACAACAGTGCTGGCACGGGACCACCCTCGCCCCGTACCACAGTTATCACCAAAAAGCCCCGTAAGGCCGCCACAGCACAAAGCATAAGCCTGGTCTCAACAAATGATCACATCAAAGGAATCCCCTTTAGTACTCTTCTACAATTTCTAGTCACAAAACACAGCTTATTCCCAGTTTACACTTAAAGTCATGGGAATTAACAAATGAATGTTAAAACACTGTAAATATGACAAAAATCCTCTTAGAACATTTGGTGCAATTTAAAATGCTTAATTTTAAATGACTTTTTGTACACAGCTCCAAACCGTCCACCAAGCAATGTCTCATGGAGGACTGATGGATCCTGGGTAACGGTCATGTGGGACCATGTCAAGGCAATGAAGAATGAATCTGCTGTGCTGGGTTATAAGGTATTAAATACAAAATATGTCTGATTGTGTGTTGTCAGCTTTCTGTAGTTTAAGTGTAACTGAGTATTATTCCACATTTTATCTCTTGATTGGACATCTGTTCTTGGCTTTGAAACTGTAATTCAATTATACCCCATTAAGTAAGCCAGCCAAAATACCAAGACTTCAAACTGTGCAATCCAATTGCCTTAATCACTATCACAAAGAACAAACAATGAGCGATATCACTAGATAAGACAACATGGGTTTAAAGGGACAATTCAGGTTATTGGAGTGTTTAGTGGCTCAGCATGTTAGGTTGCTTTGCCTGTAATTGGAAGTTTGCCAGTGTAAATCCCAGGATTAGCAGAGTGATTGCACTGTTGGACTCTTGAGCAGGGTCCGTAACCCCCATTTGCTCCAGGGATTGTTTAACCCTGCTTTCTCAAAAAAAAATTGTCAATTTGGATAAAAGTATCTGCTAAATAAATTAAATGTGGATTTTTACTTCTAGATTCACCAACATTTTTACTGAATAAGACTTACAATATGGAACTACAAAGTAGTAACATTACTTGGGAAATTCATTGGTACCCCTGTTGTTCACTTCTGTTTTTTAAGGTCCTGTATAAACATGAAGGTCATTCTGCCTTGAAGGTTCTTGAAAAGGGCAAAACCTCCATCAGCCTGCCCCTGCCCAAGGACAATGGCTACGTGGTTCTGGAGATACGTGCTTGGGGGGAGGGGGGAGATGGAGTCCCTCACGAGACCATTGTGTCTAGGGATTCAGGTCAGGAACTTGTGGACAATGGAAGCAACCATCAGTCATTTCACCATATTTGAACTTTCTGACTGGTGTAGCTTTGTTGACATTGCGTAGCCCATATTAGTACAGCTTAATATTTGTTTTCAGAAAAGCTCTGTTGACTGCTCACACTCTAAAAAAAAGTGTTCACTCAGCTCAAAATTTAAAGGCAACATGCTTTACAAAGTTTTCAGTTAAGTCAACTGAATCATACAAATTTAACAGACCTATATACAACTTTAAGTCAATACAGTTATTCAAGTTCAACTAACCTAGATAGAGGTTCAACTTGAACTGTTAAGTGTTTAGCTGACATATTTTATGTATTAATACATACGTAAAGACGTCAAATCTTTCATTACTTTAATAATTCAACTTGCCTTTACTCACAAGTAGACCTGTTATAATATTAAATATTTCATATAAGTTATAATATTTTTACAATATTTGTTGAGAATAAGTGTTATATTATCAGAAGAAAACATTAGGTTTTGCTTGAAAATAGAAGACAATTTTTGTAAGACAGATTTAGTGAGGGTCTAGGTTTTCTTCTTTTGGGATATGAATCCAAAGGGAAAAGATAAAATCGACTACACTGTGCATCCAGTCAAGACTACATGGGTCAAGCTGACATTATAACCAATAAAAAAAAAGACTATAATTTTACAGTGCATAAAAGAATAATAATATTGGACTGGCATCTGGTAGTGCTGAAATGTTGATAGGACATCATGACTCAACACCGCTTTCAGGGATTTTTGTTTAATTAAGAAAAAAAATTCTAAATATAATGCATAGCTGATTAAATTTTCTTTGACATATTGGTAATGCTAAACCTCATTAACATAGAAGGATCATAGTAAAGTTATATTTAAATCTCAGACACTGAAAAATACAAAAAATAATGTTTAGCAGAAATTCAAGGAAAATTGAAAAACTTGTCTTAAAGGATGGCATACTGAAAGCCATGGCATAAATCTAAAATGCAAACGAAACTTGCCATAATGCAGGGGTCTTCAAACCCCTTGGTGTATACAGATATGGACCCCCTATTTAATCTTCATAAATGTGTTCCCCAGTTTAGCCCCATCCTGTAATAAAATATTTATAATAATAGCCTTTATAATCCATTTATATTGATTGTTTTGAGTGCTAAGCCAGCTTATTATTGTCTGTTATTTGTGTACATTTTTTTTTATTTTATGAAAAAAATCTATAGAAAACCATATTTTTTCCTAAGTTTATATCTGACCCTTCCCACTCCACATTTCACTTAATGTTAGCTCAAAATAAGGGGACTAGGCAGATGAAAGAATGAAGCAAATTCAGCTTGCTATTTATCGCTAGCTTACGTGCATTTACCTTCCACATACCCGGCTGTATAGAGAAGCTATTCCTTATAAATCAAGATATCCGCATATGTCAGCCTTGGCTGATATTTAGAATTTTAGATATTTAGATGTTACAGCACCAGAGCAAAAGACATAACTACTAATGAAGATGTTTGCATTGGACAATCAACCATTTTCTATAGTGGAGGGATTTTGTGAGCTCATTCACCACTTAGATGACATTTCAGAAAACTGTTGGTGCACTACTGGTTACATTGGTTATAATGCAAATGTAGATAGTTAATGTTGGCCACATTGGCTAGCATTAATTAATGTACAATTAACGCTAGCTAAAGTTGCATAAAACCTCATACAGTGATTGCCTACTTGCAGCTGTGTTCTAGAAAACTGACTGTTGTGGCAAACATGAAATATCCAAATGGATCTAAAATTTGTTCTGTTCTGAATTGCAGGTGTGAAATTGCAAAATGGCTGCTTAAACAAAGCTTTAGCTTCTCAACAATCCAAATACACATGCGCAACCAACTTGCACTGCACATAAATGAATGAAATTAAAATAGTAAATTTGACAAATACACAATGCAGAATTAATACAGCATTCGAGGGGTAATAGCAGAGTTGACACATTTATTTGTAACTCAAATGATAGCTTTTTTTGTCAACCTTACAGGCCAATTATAATTGAGTGAACAGTATGCAAGTTGGAAAATGTGCTGCTATGACTGCAATTTGACATTTAGAGACTGGTTATTATTTCAGCCAGGTAATAAATTTGTTCCATTAAAAACATAAAATAAATATTATAAGACAATATCATCGCTGGAAATGCAATAAAAAAAAACAACATCCTCATCCACATGCATTTAGTAATTCTCTTATAATTGTTGAATGATTTTCTGTATTTCAAATGATAAAAAAAAATCATAATACAAAAATATTTATACAGATGCTCCTCTACTTACGAACGACATACATTCCGAACGGCCGTTCGTAACTTGAAATGTTCGTAAGTCGTTATTCAACATCATTTTAAGGGTATACACAAGTACAAAAAACTAGGATGCTGGGAGTATGCATGGCCAGAAGTCATACTAGGCAGAATTGGCACACAGAAAAAAAAAATTGATATTGCGGACAGGAAATGATAGCCCAATGAACACAATTTGGACTTGCAGTCCTCTGTTCGTATGTCTGAAAGTTCGTAAGTTAAAAGTTTGTAAGTAGCGGAGCGTCTGTATTCAATTTATTATAGCCGAGAAAAAAAATATTTTCTCAATTTTCCAAGTTTCAAGTCTAAACACAGTTTTGTTTCCCCACAGGAACTGGAATGATGGTTCAGAACATTGCCAAGATTCTCAACCCATGCTCTTTTTTACTTTTTTCCATTGTATCAGTATTCACATTTATTGGCCTACTTGAACTATGAATGGTTTTACTTCAGGCTGTAAGCCTGTTTCCTTGATACACTTATCTGACCTTAATGATTTTGTATGTATTGGGTGGGGTTATCATGTGAAACATGCTTAAGGCAAGAACAAAAGTCATGATAAATAGGTGGGATGGGTGTTTAAAAACAACAAAAATTGTATTACTGTACGTGTGTTTTTCTAAAGAAAAGAAACTTTTATAAGACTGTGGAGCAATGTATACTGGAAGAATGCAAACTGGGTAAACTGACTGGACAGCCTGATTGTGAATTGAAATAAAACACATGCCTTATGGTAAAATAAATGTGAAAAACACATTTTCCCAGAAGCTGGTTTACAAACATATGGCCATCCCTGTCCCTGTAACTCTCATTCTCTTTTAAATAACTACAAATGGTGGCTCTCAATTGATGAAGAATAGTTTTTCAGTACTTGATATATTTTGTTCCTGTTTCCTACAAGTAATGGACAAAGGGGATACTGAGTAAAGTTACCAGTATAGTTTACAAAAAGAATTCAGATTCACATGTCCCAGGGAATATGTTTCAGTAAAATATCTGATACTTTTAATTTTGATTACTTATTGAAAGAAAATATAAAATAAACCAGTGACATACTACAGACATAAACAAAATATATTCTGCAGCATTTCAATAGCAGGGAATGCTCTATCTATAAGGCCATCCTCCAAGCTGTACAGAAATGCAAACACAAAAACAGTTCAGTATGCATTTGAACAAGGTATTTTATTTGTACAGTTCGGTCTTAGTGCTTGAACACTGAGCTGAAGCATTGTTACTCCAAGAAGAAGGATGCTGGTTAACAAAATATGCAAATTTGCCTATGACTAGTGTCATCTAGCTGCATGGTGGCTCATTTGGTTGGAGGTTGGGCCTGCTTTACGTGTGCTTCAGGCAACCCTGACCTGCATACATATTATAGATAGTAACTGATATGTAAGGAGTGGTGTATTTGCAATTTCCCTGACTACCAATAACAAAACAATACAATGTCATATGGAGCCTGGACCCTATCCCAGAGACCATAGGGCACAAGGCAGGGGAACACACACTTGGACTGTGGAAGGAACCTGGAGTTCATGCAACATGAGGAGACCATGCAAACTCCAGACTAACAGGATTCAAACCCTTAATCCAGGAGCCTGAATCACTAAGCCAGACTTCTTGCTTCACTGGAAAACTTGTAGTTAATGTATCCCAATTTAAATGGACATTATCTTTGTCCACTTACATTTAGCCCAGACTACCATAAATTTGACAAGTTATACAACTAAACAAGAAATCCTGCTTTGTGATGCAGGCCCCTGGAGGTATGAAGCAAACATTGAGGCACCATGCTGCCAATTACATTCTGGTATTCAAGCATTTTTATGTCTTAATACATATTAAGACACATATTTAATTTGAAAACACTGCTAACACAGGGAAAAGACTATAAAGTTTATCATAGTCAAATTCATTTAACAGCAATATATTTTTTGTTGTTCACTTCCTGTTGATGTAATGCAGCTGAAAAATGTGTTCTTCAAATTTTTTTTTGTTTCAAATCAAAACAAAGTTATTAATACAAATTTAATTTTGCACTATTTTATTCTATATTTGATTTTTTTTAGATATTTGAGTGCTCACACTGTTGGTATTTAGATGTTGGTATTTGTTCATAACCTGGTCTTTTCTACAGAGCTAAAGTATTCTCCATCAGGAGTGCTGAAACAAGCAATTACCTTTGGGCATATTGCTGTGAACTGGCTTGTAATTTGCTGTTAGTTTTTTTTTTATTTCATTGTTGGAACTCAATTGAATTATGAATGGTAACTGAAGATAAGAGTATGCATTTTCAAGGGCATATGTAGAGCAGTTTTTGGGATAAACTGGGCATTAGGAAAGTGATATACATCACTTATATACATTTGATTACAAGAAAGTGTTGACTTTTCCAACAGGGAATACCATAATAACTGTCCAAAAAGATGTAAAATGTGCATTTAACCTGGAATTTACATTACAATTTTGTCTCATTTTTATTGAACCATTCCTTTAATTATTTTAAATTGCAGTCTCATGAATTTGGACACACATTGTTATATGTGGAGTTGCATGCCTAAGCATTACCCTGAGACCAAAAGAGATATTTATTTTTGTTATTGAAGATAAAATAAGTACATATTTATACTGGGGAGCATGAGCATTGAATTATAAGCCATGTTTTTATGACTAATTTTCAATTACGTAAAAAAATAAATCATGCCATGATTTTGGATGTATGTTCAGTGGTAAGGAGGGTGAAGTTATAAATACAGTGTGGCTTTTCAGATATCGCACACGTTGAAACAGTTCTTTTAAACATTCAAGATACTAACTAAAAGTACTCTAAGCATTTGATTTGGTAGTAGTCGTTGTAATATCATTTACTGTATCTAACCTTACATAGGCTACAGCCCTGCAAACCCAGATGACTACGTAAAAATATTCATTATGTTTGCATTAGTGAAACAAAGTACGTCAGTGGCCAGGCCCACTAGAATGTTACTCATCACTGAACTTCATGAGTGAATTTCAGGGTGATTTTCAATTTTCAATTTAATAATAATTTTGTAATAGATTTTGTATATTGTAAAACTGAAGTGTGAATTGCTGATGACATATAACTCTTTTTACACACAAAAACATTGACTTGAATCACATTTAAGAGGAGTTAGAACTAAACAAATTGGCTAAGAAAGTCTCTATTTTAACTGTTACTAAAACCATGGTATTCATATAGTATATGATTCATAACTAAAATGATTATCTTAATCACATCATGCAGCTTATCACTGACATGCTGAGTTTGAGACAGAGGATGTCTGAATTAAAATGAGAGGATCTGTTGAAACTGGAGTATCACGCTGGAGTATCAGGTTGAATGAGCCATTATCTACCATCATGTAATTGTCCTGATGCAAATTGTAAGAGTTTAGTTATGAATTAAATTTTATTTATTTACTTTTTTCCTGCCAGGTTTTGGCATAGCACCAGTGCATTTTATGTTTAGTGGCTGTTAGTTCAAGATATTATTTCAACTTTTAATTAACAGTATCACAACACTACCATATTATAAAAATTATAAAAATATTTAGTAGCTTTACATTAACTGCACCTTCAAAATGCTTTCATATTTCGTTCATAAAACGTTTAGTACACCTTCATAATGTATTCATTAAGTATTCATAAAACATTCATAAACATCATGTATGTACTGTATACCTTAACATCCTAACATCCCTTAACAGCTGTAATATACATTAATAACAAACATTATATAACAAACATTATAATTGTATAATCATGTATTATGCACTGTATGTTCTATGAATGCATAATGAATGCATTATGAAGGTGCACTTAATGTAAAGCGTTACCAAATATTTATTATTATTTTATAATTTATGTATTATTATGGGAAAAAAATGGTTAGGATAGAAGACGTGTTAACTTACAAGTGGGAAAAATCCAAAAGTGATTATGAACAGTATATGATTATTGAGAAAGGAACCATGGGATTTTGAAAAAACTTAGGAACCTGGGAAAAAATGACATGTAAATAATCATCAATAAACAAATTCAATTGTATTTAAACTGATGCTTTTTTCTTCCATCGATTTTGTTTTGTTTAGGTATTTGGTGTTTTAGTTTTCAGTTCAAGGATAGTACAATCCATGTGCTTTTGTCGCAGCCAGGATCCAAAAAGTGTTAAAGTGTCATTTGTAGATTAGTATTTTGAAAGGGCTTGTTTTTTTAAATATTAGAAAAATATGGAAACTGTTCAAATATGTTGACTGGTATGTGCATAGTAATTTTAACAAAGACGTAAAATTAAGTGTATTTATTTTTTTTCATCAAGATTACCTTCCATTGCCTTTAAAATGTCAAGCAGCTTGGCTATGATTTAATTAAAAAATGTTTCCTTAATATGCATATTTTAACAAGCCATCAGTGGTATAATAAGTTGTCTAAAAAAAGGGTTTGTTCTTTTTTGGACTGTGGGGGGATACTGGAATACCTGGAGAAAACAACACAGCAACATGGGGAGAACATGCAAACTTCACACCGTGGTTTCACACTGATTAGCACTGTTGCCTCACATCTCTGCTCTTACCTTGTATGGAGTTTGCTTGTTCTCCCCATATTGTTGTGGTGTTTTCCCCATTCTCATGTTATACTTGAAATCACACCAGAGGAAGCTCAGGCACACATGTTTTTGGACAGTGGGGTGATACTAGAGCACCCAGAGGAAACTCCATGATGAGAGAACGCAAGCTCTACACAAATAGAGCCAGGCAGAGTCTCAAACGCTGGCCCCAGAGGTGTAAGGCACCACCCTCCAAATAAATTTACACGAAAAAATGCATAGACTGTGACAGCCCAGGCAGAATATTTAAACAACAAAAGTGTGGTAAAATAACCACATTTCACTTCAAAAAACTTTATCATGAATTGTACTGCACATCATAAAAAGCAGAAGTGCAAAGTTCAGATTGGTTGAAACAAAATCTTGTACTTTCTGGACCTGAACTTTCTACCTCTAATATAAAGAAGGTTGATGAAGACCTTTGAGGACTAACCCCAGACATCTCTGCACTTCACCCAGTCTGGGCTGGTCAACTGGACTTTTTTTCCTTCCAGTAATTCCTGGATGCTGCCTTTCATTTCTCTCTCGGTTTCTTCCTTTTTTCACCATTTTTTCACTTTGGATGGATGCATCTAATCTGTTCCTGCTTCTTCAGTAGATAATATGGAATAACTGGCAAACGATGGCATCATGTCGGTGGCGGCAAAAGACGAGGAGGCTCCTCTAAAAGGAGAACACGCCCTTTTAAAAAGTCCTTCTAAGGACTAAAACAGGTACTGAACAAGCACTGAATCAACCACACACAAAGAGGCCTGACGCTGGACTGTAAGCTACACAAGATGGGTAATTTATACAATGCTAATGACGTGTGAAGATCGGACAGGGTTCACATAAGATACAGACAAACACACAAGCGACAATAGGGAATACAAGTATAAATGAAAACAATAGGCTATTTACAGTTGCTCATGAACATGCTGGGATACGCAAATCTACGCTACAAAAACATTACTTGGTTTCATTTTGTGTCAGTAGTAGATACAAGACAAGCACAAGAGTTTAAGTATAATAAGTATAATAATCTTGAAAAGATGATTAAAAGTCACGTATTCAGCTGTTTGTTCAGAGAAGCTTAATTTCTGTAAGCTATACCCAGATTCTAATGCCTTGTCCACACGTACACAGGTATTTTTTAAAACGTACCTTTTTCTATAGGTCTTGGGCTTTTGTCCACACGTAAAAGGCGTCTTAGGTCACTGAAAATGCAGCTTTTGCA